GGCGTCCAAATTGTGGGCGAAGATACATAGGGGAAGGAACAATGACCCAGATATTATCGCGTCGTGCCAAAGATCAGGATGGGAGGTTTCTGGCCATTTTGGGCCCGGGGGGCCCTCGCCGGGCCTCGGGGCCGTCGAAAAGCGACTCGGGACGAGAAACTGGTCCCGGGGAATGGGTCGGGACTTCCAGGGATGCCGTCCTACATATCGGAGGTTGATGGATCTCCTGCCCTGACACGTCGATTAGCGAATGTGGCCGCTTCCGGTTCGCGAGAGGGCGTCGTGGCTGTCATTTTTGCGGGTCCAGGTCTGTCGGTTTCGGTCCAGGGCCGTTTTCACTTGAAGGTGGTTGACTAAAGGGAGCTTTGTCCACCGCCGAACATCTGGGAACGATCAATTCGGATGCAACTCCTGGGAGGTCAAATTCTGATTTTGCCCTGGTCCGAAATCCGGCTTAATCCGGTTTAATCCGGCCTAATCCCGCTTAATCCGGCTTAATCCCGCTGAATCCGGCTTAATCCGAGGCCCACTCCGGCACAACAGCTCCCCAATGGGGCGTAATCCTCCTTAACCGTTCCGACAAGAACCTCCCAGTAGTTGCCTCCTAAGATCAATCGCATAAACATAAAAACTCGGAGGCCCGCGCGGACTTCTCGGATCGGCGCTGGGTCCCCCCAGCGGCGCCTCCGGCGCCGCCCCCCGGCGCGCTCCGGGGGTCGAGCGCCGAGTCCGCGCGGACCTCCGATGTTTTTTCATGTTTGTGTCATTGTTCGTTCCCTTAGAGAAAGCATAAGAGGAGTGCCAGAAAGGGCCTCGCCTTCGAGGATCGAAGGAGTTGTCGTCTCTGCCTCGGCAGAGGGCGGCGAAAGGTCGGCGGAGGTTCGGCGGAAGCAGAACTGTGCCGCCTCTGCAGGCGGAAGCCTGCGGAAGACCGGCGGAAGCTGGCGGACGAGTAAAGGATGCGCCCCCGATTCATGGAAACGTTTTTGGGTGCAGGGTTTCCGGAACCCGCAATACGTCGCCGCGCCGTTTGTTCCGACGCGCGGTCTCGCGTCTTGGGGAGGGCGCCGCGGGCACCAGGGCAAATGCCGCCACGGACTCGGTGGGTTCGCCGTGGGTTTGCCACGTTGCCGGCTTTGTCTTCCTGGGGCGCGTGGCGTGGGGCCTGCTGTGGGTTTGCCGTGGTGTCGACGTCGTCCACTTGGGCGCATTTCGAACGAACGGCGCGGCGACATATCCGTATGTGATCGTTTTCTTATTCATTGTTTTGCCGATCGGCGCGGGTCCTCGCACCCCCCCCTGCCCCCCCCATGGAGCAGATCTTGATTGTTTTTTGGCGCCTGCTTCAAGCAGGGAGAGTCTCCCCCAGAGGCCGCACTGCTGCAAACAGTGGCAGTAAGCAGAGGTCGGGAGCCAGACCCCCACCCCCTCCTCCCTGCCGCCCAATGTCGAAACGCCGAATAAAAAACGCTCACTATCCGCGGCCTTGCGGGCCGGGCCCCTGGGACGCGACCCCGCAAATACTGGGCTTTTTTGTCGCGGATGCCCCGCGCGGTACGCATCCGTACCACCGCGTATCCGCGGGGTCGCGCCCCGGTATCGAGACCGCGAGGGCGCGGATATGGATACGTTCGCCGCTCGGGAGAGGCGGAGATCGAGGAGCTGAAGATCGCCACGCCAGGGGAGATACAGAAGGACCCAGGAACAGAGAGAAACCAGGGTCCACTTCGATCCGTTCTCCCTTCTCCTTCCTCCTCCTCCAGCCAGGCGGGAACTCTGCCTTGCCGGCTGTCCCCAGTGCTCTTGTTTGAGCGAGGAGGAGGAGGAGGAGGAGGAGGAGGAGGAGGAGGAGGAGGAGGAGGAGGAGGAGGAGGAGGAGGAGGAGGGGGAGGAGAAGGAGGAGGAGAATGAGGAGGAGGAGGAGGAGGAGGAGGAGGCCAGGGGCCTCGGCCGCACCCTCCGAGAGCGGGAGTCCGGCCAGCTCGGATAATGATAATCACATTCATGAACATACGAATAATATTGATACTCATATCAGGACTAACGAATCATACTACTATAGTAAATATGCCAGTGACAACCTTATTGATCAGTGGAAGGAACACATGCGATTAACATTCACCACAAGACAACTATTCATTGCTATAATCGTTATCATCGTTCTAGATGACAAGAAGGTGGCGGTCTTTCTCCTGAAACAGCTTGCTGAACGGGGTGCCGTTGTGATAGAAGCTAACTCCGGCAGAGGGAAAAGGGAGCAGAGACATTCCCAAACAAGTCTAGTGGTCTGGGCTCTTTCGCCTGGTACACCCTCACGACTCTCGTTTCTGAGTTGTTCGGGATTGGCCGTTTCGCCTGAGACATCTTTCAAAATCTGGGTTCCGGGACGCCGCGCGCGAGGTGGCCTGGGTTGTCTTTATTGAAACATCCTCGGAACTCGAAGCCCCGAGCTGCAGTGCGAGGGGTGGTCTGGCGCGTATCGCACGAGACATCCTCTTAACTCTGCGCTTCGAGCTGCTGCGCGCGAGGTGGTCCAGCGCGTTTCGCCTGAGGCATCTTCACAATTCTAAGCTCCGAGACGCCGCGCGCGAGGTGGTTTGGCGCGTTTCGCTTGAGACATCCTCGCGCCCCTCAGCTCCGAGACGCTGCGCGAGAGGTGGTCCAGCTCGTTTCGCCTGAGACATCCTTGCAACTCTAAGCTTTGAGAAGATGTGCGCAAGGGTGTGTGTGTGTGTGTGTGTGTGTATGTGTGTGGCCCCTTTCGCTTGACATCTTCGCAATTCGGGGCTCTGAGGTGCTGCGGGCGAGGTGGGCTGGCCCGTTTCGCTTGAGACATCCTCGAACCTCTGGGCTCCAGGAGGGAGGAGAAAGGAGAGAGAAGGCGTCAAACTCAATCGAATCATGCGATTCCACGTCTGTTGTCGAATTGTGCTCTGGGAGGGGTTTCGGAGCCACCTGAGACCTCCTCGGAACTCTGAGCTCCCAGATGTTGCACGCGAGGTGGTCCAGCCCGTTTCGCCTGAGACATCCTCGCAACTCTGGGACTCGGAGATGCTGCGCGCGAGGTGGCCCAGCCCGTTTCGCCTGAGACATCTTCGCATTTTCGGGCTCCATGAAGATGTGCGCGAGGTGGTCCAGCTCGTTTCGCCTGACACCTCCTTGCTATTGTGGGCTCTCAGAGAATGCGCGCGAGGTGGTATGGCGCATCTCGCTTGAGATGCCCGCAACTCTGGGCTCCGAGATGCCGCGCCAGAGGTGGTCTGGCCTGAGACATTCTTCAACCTCTGGGCTCCGAGAGGGAGGACAGAGGAGCGAGGAGGGGTCGGACGCAAACGAGCCGTTTGATTCCACTTCTGCTGTCGAGTTGTGCTCTGGGAGGGGGCTGGGCGCCTCAGGCTCGACGGAGGAGGTAGCCGGCGCCGAGGCTCGAGCACGACTCCTTGGCAAGTTGTTGTCAGGGCTTATCAGGGGGGAGCCATGCTGGATCAAATCGTGGAGATCCTCGAGCGAGAGCGCGGCGAGCAGGGGGGAGGCAGGATGGAGGAGGAGAGCGGGATGATGAAATAGCTCCGAGATGTTGCGCGAGAGGTGGTCCAGCTCGTTTCGCCTGAGATATCCTTCCAATCCTGAGCTCTGAAAATCTGGCCCGTTTCGCTTGGTCGATCCTCGCAATTCGGGGCTCCGAGGTGCTGCATGCGAGGTGGTCTTGCACGTCTCGCCTGAGGCATCCTCGACACTCTGGGCTCCGAGAGGGAGCAGGAGACATACCCAAGCGAATCATGTGATTGGACATCTGTTGTCGAATTGTGCTCTGGGAGGGGTCTGGGCGCCACCCGGGAACTCCTCGCAACTCTGAGCTCCCAGATGTTGCACGCGAGGTGGTCAAGCCCGTTTCGCCTGAGGCATCCTCGCAACTCTGGGACTCGGAGATGCTGCGCGCGAGGTTGTCTGGCGTTTCTCGCCTGATGCATCCTCGCACCCTCGTGCTCCATGAAGATGTGCGCGAGGTGGCCCAGCTCGTTTCGCCTGAGACATCCTTGCATCTTTTTTGGTTTTCCGCAACTGTGTGCGAGGTGGTCTGGAGCGTTTCGCTTGAGACATCCTCGCAACTGGGCTCCGATGTGCCGCGCCAGAGGTGGTCTGGCCCGTTTCGACTGAGACATCCTCGAAATTCTGGGCTCCGAGAGGGAGGACAGAGGAGCGAGGAGGGGTCAGACGCAAACGAGCCATTTGATTCCGTTGCTGTTGTCGAATGGTGCTCTGGGAGAGGTCTTGCCGCCCCTGGCTGGCCCGACGGAGGAGGTGGCTTTCGCCGAGGCGCGAGCACGACTCCTTGGTAAATTGGAAGGACGGATCATGGGGGAACCATGCGCTGGAGCAAATCGCGGAGATGTCTCGGCTAGAAAGCGGCGTGCAGGGAGGAGGCACGATGGAGGAGGAGGAGGACGGCAGGAGAAACGAGCTCGGAGATGCTGCGCGAGAGGATTGATGGAGGAGGGAGGCCGGACGAGGCTCACACGCTACCTGTTTGAGGGCATTCCTGACGAGGTTACCTCCTGGAAACGACATCGAGGGTGCGAAGGCATCCCTGGCATGGCAGAGGAAGCGGAGAGCAGGAGGGAAGAGGAGGAGGTGGTGGAGCTGGATGAGGATTTTTTTCACATCTACGGCTACATGCCCCTCCCGAGGGGGCTCTTCAGTCTGACTCGTCTTGGGCAGAGTCAGCACGAGCAACAACTACAGGCTGCTCGTCTTCTTCCTGTCTGAAAGAATCGGCCACGCTCCTGAGAACGGAACTGGACGATCCGGGCACCGCTGCAGCGGCTGCGGAGCCCGCCGGGGAGAAGAGGAAAAGGGAGGCTTCCTCCTCGGCATCGGAAAAGGGAGGCCACTTTCGCCTCCCCTCAAAGGAGATGGAGCGAGCATAGGCCTCTCGTGCTGGACATCTCCCACCTCCTCCACCTCAGAAGCTGCATCGGGGTCGGCAGACAAAACCTGAACAGGCGAGATGGAGGCGCCGACAGTCCACGGCGAAGGAAGAAACTGGACATTGCGAATCCGTTTCTTCTCCTGTGGGTGACGGCCAGAGCAAACATACTTCCAGTTTGTGCGCCCAGCTCCGCCTTCATCTGGGAGACAGGGCTTGGCCAGGTGCACAATTCTGCCACCTGTGCTGTAGTGGTGGCATTTGAGACAGATACATAAAAATGAGCCATCTGTGCAATCTATAAGAGCACACTGGTGGTTATTACCTGAAATCAAATCAATGTTCAACCGAGGAGGCTTAGCACAACGGCCGGGCGGCGGGCGATCAGCGCCGCGCTTTCCTCGGAGGCAAATTCGACACTGCCAAAACGAGCTCACCCACTCCCACTCGTGGGAGCGGTGGTCGGCGGGCAGCTTTGCAGGAGGCCTGACATATTCTACCTCAGAGAGGTCACACTTCGGCCAGAGAGGCAGCAGCTTACAGGCCAGTTTGACCACCGCTTTGCTAGCACGAATGTGAAAGTCAGTTCTGTCCTGGACATCAGGCGGAGGAGGAGGATGAGGAGGAGGAGGAGGAGGAGGAGGAGGAGGAGGAGGAGGAGGAGGAGGAGGGGGAGGGGGAGGAGGAGGAGGAGGAGGGGAGGAGGAGGAGGAGGAGGAGGAGGGGGAGGAGGGGGAGGAGGAGGAGGAGGAGGAGGAGGAGGAGGAGGAGGAGAGGAGGAGGAGGAGGAGGACCAGGAACAGGAGCAGCTGCAGAGCAGGAGCAGGAGGAGGAGGAGGAGGATGACCACGAGCAGGAACAGTTGGAGCAGGAGGAGCTGGAGCATGAGGAGCTGCAGCAGGAGCTGGAAGATGAGGAGGAGGAGGAGCAGGAGGAGGAGGAGGAGGAAGAGGAGGAAGATGAGGATGAGGAGGATGAATGATAATACTGAGGAGGAGGAAGAGGAGGACTCCAGTGCAAGCCCACGAACCATCAACGACGTTGGAGTAAACCCTCCTTCCAAGCTCCTTCTTCATAGGCTCCTACAACGGCTCACTTCCACTGAGGGAATTGTCTCTTTTGAAGACAACCGTTTGAAGACCCGGAAGCATGCCAAAACATGCTTCTCGGGATTCCAACGCCACGGGTCATCCTGTCTGTTGCGATTTGAAGATCCGGAGTCGTGCCAGAACGCTTTTCCTGGGATTTCAACACCACGAACCAACGAATTGTTGCACCTTCATGTTCCGGAGGCCTTCGAGCACACAGTTTCTGATACACTGATCATGGGAATCCGTGAAACGCTGGCTTTTCTTTTAATAGAATAAGGATGTACGCAGCGCTAAGGCGAGAGCCACATCAAAGATATACGCCGCCATCAATCCGTTAAATTCTTATGAATTATCAAAGGGATGTACGCGGCGCCAAGGCGACAGCCACATTTTGAAACCGTCTCGCCCTCAATCCGTGAGGCTCGTGCAAGTTTTTAGATCCGAGTTTGCGCGGCGAGAGCCACATGTTGAAAAAGAGCCGCCCTCAGTCCGTGAAGCTCCTGCAACTGTTCCACAAGAATGTGCTTGGCCCTCAGGCGAGAGCCACATGTTGAAAGGGGCCCGCACTCCTTCTGTGAAACTGCTGCCAAGGTTTAAGCTGCAGGGTCGTAAAGGGTGAGGACGTCTCAGGCGAAACGCCCAGCCCGCCCTAATAATTGGCCTTGGGCCTAGGGGTG